ACTAGTTCTGCACAATAAATTATTCTTCATTTTGATAAGACATACTCTTAGGATATACCTATTAGAAAGTTACTGTTTCATTTTGGAGGGAAAATATAACTTTACTGAAAAGAGACATTCCTTTTACCATTGAGTAGAAAATTTAAGACTAGGAGGATGGGAATGTATGAGTTGGAAATGGAGGTCTGCAGAAAAATGGAGATTAAGGATGAAGCTGGAGAGGGCTCAATGAGAGACAGTCAAGTCTAGGATAGATTCTTCAGTGGAAACAAAAAATATAAGGGGAAGTACAGGATAAAAAAAGGGAATGGAGGAGAACCTAAATATTTCTAGCCCATACACATTCACCCACTTAAAGTGCCATCTCCAAGAACATCTAAAGATACCTTAGTTGTCCAGGTGCAATGGCTCACATCTATAATCATGGCTACTTGGGGGCAGAAATAGGAGGATTGCAATTCAAGGTCAGTCTGGACAAAAAGTTAGCGAGATCCTATCTCAAGGAGCAACCTAGGCATAGTGGTGCATATCTGTTATCCCTAATTCTACAAGAAGTGCATTTAGAAAGATTGAGGTTTTAACTGAAATTATCAGAAAATTAGAGCAATCAATGAAGAAGGTTACATGAGTTAACCAAATAAGTAAACCATAAATTTAGATTCTGAACTTTACATTAATATGTCTTCATGAAAGTGGTGAAATTAGTATCAGAAATAGGCACTTAGATGTTGCAATGAAAATAAGAATGAATAGTTAATAGTGATGCATTATGTATTTCAAAACATTTGGAAGGGAATATGTTAACTGTTCTTACCACAAATAAGTGGTGAATATTTGATATATATGCTAATTAGATTGATTTAATCATTCCATCTTTGGAAAAACCACACTGTACTCCATAAGATGTAATTATTTTTGTCTTTTAGAAAAAGGATAATAAAAAACCAAACAGGAATTTTAAAAAAATCCAAGAAAGATAGGAAAAGGAAAAAAGACTGAACACTGTGAGTGGACATTTGGTTGGCTGTAGAATTTGGAGAAGGCTTTACAGGAAAAGTGGTGCTTGAAATATTTCTGCATATTGTCTAAATTGAGATGAAGAATTCCAAGACTTCTAGAACTCCATATGTAAAAGTACTGAGCAAAAACTGTCTTGTAACATTTCTTCCCTTAATCCTGTTTTTTTCTGATTTGATAATTTCAGAATGTATACATTTATGGAAACACCACATTGTACCTTATGAATGCATATACTTATTATTTGTCATTTTAAAGATTTTGAAAAACCAAAGTGCCTGCTTTTCACATAGCTCTGTGATAGAAGCTAAGAACATATAATCTCCCCTTAAAATGAGTTTATAGTTATATGAGAGAGACCACTACTGTTTTCAGTAACTTTAATATCTAGTGTACAAAAATAATGAAAAAGCTATTTATGAGATGCAAAATGGCTCTCTATATGTCAATTAATTCTGGGTATCATGGCTTTTATTTTACATTCAATAAATAAGTTGCTATTTTTGTCATTCATTTCAGGAAAATTTATAAAGAATGACTTTAAAAGGATTAAACTACTATCGAATAATTTCTTTTACCTTAATTTCTTAATGGCTCCCTTTTCAATAATTCATTTCATTTATTACCTATTTTCATTCTTCTTATCATTTTTTTCCTTCCCTTTTAGGCTGAAAGATCATAAACCAAACCAAACTACATAGCACAGTTTAGCCTGATCTATATTTAACCTAGCAGAAGAGAACTCAAATTCTCTCCTTTTCATGATGCTTCTGCCTTATTTTCTTATACTCTCTTGTCATCTCTGCTGGGCCCTGACATAGAGGACTGCACATTCTTTCCACTTCTACTTAAGTTCTTCATGCTGTATTATAAATGCTTAGTTCAGTTCAATGCAAACATGTACTAACAGCTCATTGTGTCTTGTGTTAGCCCCTAAGGATATGAAGCAAGTGAAATAACAAGTTTGATGACTGAGGGTATCACAGAGGTAATTAGGGGCTGAAAACCCCAGGCTTACAGCCCTGAAAATCTTATCTTTAGTAAGTCTGGTGACTTATTGATAATGAAAATTGAACAATTTTGAACACCTACTGTATATCAGATACAGTATAGACATAATACATAAAAGAGAGTCAGAGACAAAGAGAAATGCCACTAGTTATTGAGTGCTGAAGATGTGTATATGTAAGAGAAAAGACAGAATGAGTACAGTGACAGATTCTGAGTTATGTGTGTTCATGAATGTGTCGGCATAAAGTGTTAAGAGCAATTAGTTCCAAGAAATCTGAGTAGCATAGATGCAGTATAACTGTGCAAAGTTTTGATGTAAGCTTACAAGATTGAACAAAAGGGAAAGGATGTTCTTAACATGGATAATATGAACAATATGAGTCAAGATGTTGGATATCTATAAGAAAATTAGCATGATGATACATTAAATGTGAAACTGGGTGTTATGGGAGATGAAGCTACAGAAATTAGCAGTGTATGTCATAAAAATCTCGAGTTCTATGGAAAGAATAATGAATTAAGATTTTAGTTGCAGAGCATTAAGAACCAGTTATTTCTAAATATTTTGTGAGTAAGTAAACAAATCATTTTCCATCCCTTCTAATTTAACTCCAACAAAATTCCTTTCCTTCTTTAGTATCTTGTTTGGTACCATTGGTTCCTTTTCTGCAATCTGCAACATTCATGTTTTACCCTAACTCAACAATAAAAGCTTTCCATACATTAATGTAGACATTTTCTATGTATTGAATTCAACCAGGGTATATTGAATGTCTTATTGGCCTCTGTGCTTAGATAACAAGGGATACAAGACATAAATGTGGTTTCTTCCTCAGTTTCCTGATATATCTTTTATAATGACCAAAAAAAATGTTTCTTTGAAGAACAGTCTGCTTTTATTATTCTATCACCTTCAGTAATGATTGGATTTTTTTCTTTTTAATGACGCTCAGAAAGCCCTTAAACTGATGCTACCAAGGATTTCCTAAATACTAAGCAGGCAAGTTTCAATCTTTTTCTCTCTCTTATCTCAAATTTTGATGATGTAGACTATCTCTTCCTTGAAGGTTTCTCCTTCAGTGATTTATCTGCTTTTCTTCTAAGAAGTCCCTCTCCTTTCTTTCTTTCTTTGCATTACTGTCCTTGAGATATCTTAGTTATTCCCTTAGCTTTAAATAGCACTTACATCCAGATGATTCACAAGTCTGCAATCTAATTATGGCATCTCCTGACTAGATTTCAAATGTTAGTACAACCCTTAAAGCTGTGTCTGCATTTCTGGGCTCAAACACGAAGGGCAGCAATGAAACATGGAAATAGAGGGAGATGGTCAAATCTGCAATTCAGAGAAATTCCCATAGTAGTTTGGAGAGCAAATCAAGGCTCTCTGCTTGGAGTCTAAATTAAAGGTGAATACAATAGCTATCTCTGACAGACATCTCCATCTATAATCCTTCAAACACTTAACCTCAATATGAGCCTAATAGAACTCATTCCCTCCACCATTTCAAACTCAGCTTTTCCTCCTTTGTTTCATTTATCAACAAATGACATTTAATTAGAATTAATATACACACACAGACTCCTCTCTCTTTCTGTGTGTGTTTTCATCTCCTACAGACAAACATTCATTAATTTTTTTGGTCCCTTTTTTATTGATTCTATTGATACTACTTCTGAAATGTCAAAACTGGAGCCATGGGAGTTCTATATATGAAGGCTAAAAAATAGCAAACTGTTACTGGGCTGCTGCTGGTGGGTACTTGGTTACACTTTATTGCATTTTTCTTACACTCAAGAAAACTGGTCATATCAGAGAATTATAGAAGGCTAATCGATATTTGTTGCAGGAGGCACTAAATTCCCCAAAATTACTCTGTTTTCTGATTTATTTTGTTGTTGGTTTGAGTTAGGGTCTTATGTAGGGATTGGACTAGAGATCCAACTGCCTCAGCCTCCCAAGTGCTGGGATTGTAAGTATGAACAAATCATACCTGGCATCTCCAAGCTATTCTTTTGCATTTAATCACTCTCGGATCTGTCAGATTAGGTCTCTCTTGTGTGAAATAAGATTTAATCACTCAAATAATTTTCCTGTCTATTTGGATCATGTTGCTCTTTCTTCATTATACTGTTTTGAACCATTGTTTGTATCTGTCATTAGCTGCTAAATTAGGCCACATGGCATCATCAATACTCTTCAAGTCATTGTCAATGGCCTGACTACAGTGTGTGACAGACCTAGGTTCAGGCCATTGCTCAAATACTAGTTTTGAAGCCTTGTACAGAAATAAAAATATTCTTAGCAATAGATAGTATTTATTGGACACTTGGTGAGCAAGAATTACTGTGCTAAGCACTTTATAAACACTCTATCTTTTAAAACTTAGTACAACTCCATGCATCAAGTATTATTACATTAACTTTAAGCTTACTTTTCCAATAAAGAAACTGAGATTCTGAGAGGTTATGAAACATATTCAGGACCACACACAGCTGGTGAATGTCAGAGTTGGGATTCTTAACTCAGTTCTTTTTAATTCCAGTGCTCATGCTCTTAAAAATGTTTACGCCACTGAAACCTACAAGTAATGTAAATGTTCTTTGCTCCAGTTTCATTATCTATAAGATAGGATATGTACTGTGCCTAATACAATTGCTGGCATGCAGTAGGTATTCAAAATTAGTAATGTTTAAAGTTTTAGTAAGAGTCACTTATCATGATAAATGTATCAGTAGACTAATTAAATCATTCTGTTAAAGACAGGTTATCTAACCCTTATCAGGCAAAACAAAATGCTCATTTTTCTGAAGATTTCCTGGAAATAAAGAATTCTATTAATCCTACCATCCTCTTCAGTCCACCATCTCACCATTTTACCTAATTCTGCATATTGTGACAGAATTCTTCCCTGTGGATAATAAAGCATATATCATGTAGAGTCAGGAATTTTATTGAACAGTTTACTTACAGAGCCCATACAGTAGTTCTGCCGTCCCTCTCAGGCTGACTCAAAAGATAGAGGAGACTTCAGATTCCAGGAGAGAGCTGACCTTAGGAGACGTTTTTCAGCCTGATTGGAGACAGGCACAGATCTGAGAGGCTAATTCCTGGTAGCGGTGCTAATATACTAAGTCTCCAGAGTGTGGAGGTTCCCAGACTACTTCTTTTTGCCTGATACAGTCTTTTTATATCTGCCCCATTATGCAATTATTTATTGTGACTGCATGCTTTATGGGTGGATGTAACTTTTTGTCCTTGTGCCATTTTATTGAAGAGGGTTTTTTTTTCTTAACTACTTTATTGAGATATAATGCACTGAGTGTAAAATTCACCCACTTATAGAGATTTATAGTGTATAATTCAATATTTTTAGTAAGGTCATAGTGGCAGCAACTATCATTACAATCTAATTTTGGAAAACAAAAAACAAACAAGTAAGTTAAAAAAAATCTCGGGGCTGGAGGCATGGCTCAAGTGGTAGAGCACCTTCCTCGTAAGCACCTTGAACTTTGAGTTCAAACTCCTGTGCAGTCAAAAGAACAAAACAAAACAGCAAAAAAACCAAACCTGAATCTCATACCCATTACTAGATTCTGAAGGAGAATTAAAAAAATTCGAACTGCTGAAGAGAATGTCTTATGAATGTTGTGTTACACTCCACCCCATAAATCCTTAGCACCTACCTAACGTTATTCATGTCAGTACTGTTACTTAATCTACCTGTGATTTTTTTTTAACTGAAGCAGCCTTTTACATTTAGGGAAATAATTCATTATTCATCCATACATATATACAGTAAGTATTTCATACAAGCATCCTATAGTCTATTCCAAACATCCTGGTAAATGCTGAAGATTTAAAACATAAAAGAAAGAAGAGTAGAACATAGATCTTACTGCCCATGGTTTTAGTTTAGAAGATAGACAGGTTAACCCAGAATTACCTGTTAATCAGTGATAAGGCTATCTTAGAGGCATAAACCAAGTGCTTGGTGAATAAGTGGGCAAAGGTCTCAGTGCACAAGTTAGGTGTGTAGAAAGTATTGTTTTATTTACTTTTCTATGATTTAATCTATTTTTCAGGTCCTAACCCACTGGGTGGAAGAAAATTAATTAGAATAATTTGGTTTCTTTGCACTTATGTTCAAATTCTGAGAATCTTGTATTGTGCTAAAGTGTTGCGATGGGTGGGTGATGGATTTGGCCAGTGATTTCATCTGATTTGAGGTGACTGTTACCCAATTAGTCTTTACAAAATAGTACCCATTGATTGATAATATATATTCTTTTTTTATTATTGTGCTGGATGGGGTACAGTGTGGTATTTACAAAAGTTCTTACAATATATCAAATGTGTCATACTTGAATTCTCCCCCTCCACCATTCTCCTTATTCTTATGTCTTCTTTAGATCCTCAGATATTCCCACCATTTTTAGTCCACTCTTGGGCACATGGATCTTTGAGTCATCCTTGATGTCTATCTGTTTTACCATGCATTGAATCTGTTGACATATCTTGTCAATCTCTCTGAAAATACAACCAGAATTTGATTATTCCTCATCATCTTTACAAGTACTGCTTTTATTATGTTACAATTTCTCTTACTAAGATAATTATAATAGTTTCCTAGCCATTTCCCTTGCTTCCATCCTTATCTCCCCTTGTCTTCCACCATGTCTATTCATCACCAAAAATGTCTTGGCCTGAGATATTTTATTCTTTATAATGTAACAAAAACAATAACACAAATAATAACAATACTATTTTATTGTGCAATCTATGTCCAAGATATATACAGTCTGTAGCAAGCAGAATAATGTTCCCCAAAGATGTCCATATTCTAATGCCAGAACCTATGAATATGTTATCTAGCAAAAGAGACTTTTTAGACTTGATTAAATTTATAGACTTTGGGATGGAGATATTAGCTGGGTTGTCTGGGTTGACTCAATGTAGTCATGTGAGTTCTTAAAAATGTAGAATCAGAAAGCCAGTGTTATGAGAAGGGCTTGACTTTGGAGATGACAAAAGGAGACCATAAGCCAAGGAATGTAGACAGCCCCCAGAGGAGAAGACAAGGAGATTGATTTTTCCCAGACTGTAAAACAATGCAGTCTGATGATGTCTTGATTTTGACTCAATGAGACCCATATCCAACTTATGACCTACACAACTCTAAGATAACAAATTTGGTAGAAAATCCATTATTAGTTTGGTCTATGCAGTTTAAATTTCACTTACATAGATCTCTCAGTAAGATCTTACATAGTAAGTCGCACAATTTTTCAGTTTTCTAAACTAATTTTTTGAAGTTTTCACATGACTGTCCATCCACTGTTACTTCCAATCACATCATCTAAACTCAACAGCATGCATGTATGCTTATGGACCAGACTGCATGCTAACAGGTTGTCACTTGTGTGTGCTTGTATTTTGTACATAATGTACAAAAACTGTTATGTCTCCTCATAGGGAAATTCCTGAGACCTGTAAAAACATTACCTCTACCTGGTTGGGCAAACTCTAGGTCTCTGATTGCTTTTCCATCAGTCTTGGAAGGTATTTGAGAATGGTAACATTTATTTTTCCTGTAGTTGAAAATGTGCTGCTCTTCTTTCAGAACAATAGATTGCTGTAGTGGTAGTGTGTAAATTCTGTTTCAGAGCTTGGTACATGCATATAGAATTAATGTGAGTATTGGTCAACTTACTGATAAACATATTGGTACACGTAAAATATGGACTTTCTTTACTGCCCTAGTCTCATACCAGTTTAGTAAAACTGCCACTGGTGATTTTATTAAATCACCATTTTCCTCAATAAAAATCACATGAAAACATTTCTAATTAATTTGTCAATATCAGTACCATTGAATATGGGAAACATATCATAGTCTGTGACTTAATTAGATTTCACATTAATATTTCCAGAACTTGGTAACCCACTAGGATGATCAGAATTCAATGTGTTCCAGGGATTTGAAATAAATCATATTCCATGTCAACATTTTACTGGAGTTAATGGAAAGATATTCTTGCTTATCAAATCAGCAAACCTTTTTTTAAAACTTACAATGTACAATGTTAAGTTACTGTTTTACAGTGAACTGAGCATTGTTTTACAATGTTTGCATAAAGTGGATTTTCCAGAGTACTATTGTCTTAAAATGTCCATATATTCCATTTAGAAATTTACCACAAGGAAAATATGAGAGATATAGGCCACATTTTATGCACAGGAGCATTTATTGCAGTATTATTTACAGTCATCAAAGAAATAAGAAAGTGGGTATCAGGGCTGAGAATCTTACAAGGCAACCCAAATAGTGCAAGTTTGAAAGAAACAGAGTTTGTTGTAGGAGAAAGAGGTCAGAGGCAAATACGGCGATTTATGGCTAAACTATCCGAATTGTAGAAATATACTTAAAAGCAAGAGAATAAGGACAACAGCAACAAAAGCTGATTGTTGTATTAAAAGGTGATCTACCTAGACCACTGTTTTCAAAAACATACTGAGGCCCTATGTTTCCTCCTGGCCCTCTGTGGTCTGAGGAAAGCATCATTCACCTCTTTTGCTGGCTCCAGTCATGTTGAGTTATTAGAAAATTTCCTACCCCTGTTGGTTTGATCAACTCTAACACTGGTCATTTAATTTTAGAGTATAGAAGAATGTGGCTCAGCCTTACCACTTCCCATGAGCTTCTGCTGGCTGTTCCTAGGACTCCCATTTATTACATTTCTCTCTGCTCCCACAATGTCTTGTACATGCTTCTATAAAAGTTTTTCATTCAGCTATCATTCCAGGAAATATTGTATAGTGATTTGGAGTATTACTCAATGGTAGAGTACATTTTTAGCATGGGCCAGGCTCAGGTTTGCCTTCCAGTACTGTCAAATATATCTTATATACACTGTATACCTGATACTGAACACAATATTGAGGATGAAACAGTGAACACAACAGACCATCCCAGATACTACAGTTAGAGCTTTAATGTGGGATACAAATAAGAATGTGGGAAATTAGAATGCTGAGTTACAATTACTCAAATGGGGTATTAACTGAGATTTTAGTTGTTAAAGGACCAATAGCTTGGCATCATCAGAAAACTTACTGAAAATACAGAAAAACTTAGATATCCTGAATCATAATCTGCATTTTCACAAGACATGCAGGTTATTCATACAACATTTAAATTTAAGAAGTCCTGGGACAAACTCCATCAAAATTCTTCACAGATATAGGACAATCAACCCTAATATTCATATAGACACATTCAAGAATCCAATTGCCAAAGCAATCCTGAGCATAAAGAGCAATGCTGGAAGTACTATAGTACCTGAATTCAAATTACACTGCAGAGTCATAGTAACAAAAACAACATGGCACTGGTACACAAAGAGACACATAGACCAATGGATCCAGAAATAAACTCACACATCCACAGAAATCTGATTTTTGACAAAGGAGCAAAAAACATATTGGGAAAAAAAAAAACCCAGACTCTTCAAAAAATGGTGTTGAGAAAACTATATACCCACCTGTAGAAGACTGAAACTAGGTTAGTATCTCTCATCCTGTATAAAATAAATTCAAAATGGACAAAGATATTAATCTAAGGCCTGTAACTTTGAAACTATTACAGGAAAACATGAGAAAATACATAAAGATATAGTTATAGGAAATGACTTTCTGAGTAGAATGCCAATTGCTCAGGAAATAAGAGCAAGAATTGACAAATGGAATTGCTTCAAATTAGAAAGCTTCTGGACAGCAATGGAAACCATTACCAGAATGAAGAGACAACATGCAGAATGGGAGACAATCTCTGCCAGCTATTCATTGGACAAAGGATTAATATCCAGAAAAAAAATCTAATAAATAAATGGGTAAATGACCTGAACAGACAATTCTCAAAGGATGAAGTACAATGTCAAATACATGAAGAAAAGTTCCTTAGTGATAAAAGAAATGCAAATCAAAGTAACACTAATATTCCATCTCCCACAGTCAGAATGGTCATCGTCAAGAAAACAAACCACATTTCTTTTTCTTTTTTGGTGGGACTGGGGTTTGAACTCAGGGCCTCATGCTTGCTAGGCAGGTGGGCTACCACATGAGACCTGTTGAAACTATCCCAGGAGTGGAGGAA